ATCAGCACACATGTACAACGTGGAAGTGGGCTCTCCGTTCCTCTTTCCTACCCTGTTCCATACCCCAGACCTCATGGGGATGTGGGGGAAGCATAAGGACTTGTGCCTCCCTTCTCTGGTTTTCTTTAAGAAGGAAAAAAAATGGGGATGTGGTATATTGGGTGTTGGTAAAATAAATCAGTTTTGGTAATTGTTGGGATCTGAGAAATAGAAGAATAAAGGAAAGGGTTGACTAAAAATGAGTCTGGGTTTCAGGCTAAATGAAGAGGAAGATTTTATCAGCCAAGATAATGCAAGAAAATATTTGGCGTGTTAAACTGGTTAAATTACCTGCAGTGAATATGTCTCAATTAAGTGTGTGACTGCTAACATTTCTGACTTCCAATGCATATAAACTTTATCCACTGTTTTGGCAAATCTTTGGCTGTTTCTGTTCCTAATTGCTGCCACCTCTTTCTACTCAAATGCTTATCACGTTATATCCCATTCCTGCAAACATTCCTGTTACAGCTGCCAATGAGCAAATGTTGACAGGCTCGTTGACAATTACCAGAGTCACACTGTCACTCTGTTCATAAGTAATTTATTCAAGGGTTAGCTCCTTTGTCATACAAAGTTTCCTCAACAGCAGCAACTGACATTGTGCACTGTGTCTGTCTCATGCCAGCTGATGTTTATTCTATCATAACAGTGAAGGAGTGGGCTTGAGGGTCTGGAATAGGATGAGTTACTGAATTCTAATGTGTTCGATTGTAATGGTCAATTTGAATTTTAGATCTAGAGCAATGTCATGGGAGCCATGTATGTAATAGTAAATTTTCCGGTAGTCACAACTTAAGAAAAAATAAAAAAGAAATAGGTGAAATTAATTTTAGTAATATATTTTATTTAACCCAATATATCCAAAATACTATTATTTCAACATATAATCATTCTAAAATTACTAAAAAGATATTTTACTTTATCTTTTTTGGTTTTTTGTGCCAAGTGTTCAGAGTCTGGTATGTGTTTTCCAGCCTATCTCAGTTTGGACCAGCCACATTTCAAGTGCCCATTAGTGGCTAGTGGTTTCCTTACTGGACAGCACAAATCTAGAGACTAGGAGAGGGGGAAGATTCAGGAAGTATCAGCGGAGAGGTATTAAATCATGAGTGAGGGTGGATAAGATGTTTTTGGCAGAGAGTTTAGAGAAGCCTGGGAGATGTTACATTTTCACTTTCAGGACATGTAAAGTAGCAAGAAATGCTGTCAAAATAAATTTGAGAACTTAACAGGTTAACCAGTTCTAGAAGCCAAAGGAAGAGCAAGTTTCAAAAGGGTTTGTGTTTAAACACTGCTAAGAGGTCAACAAGGATTTCCTGATTCAATTATGTTGAAAAATAATCCTGTGTTAAAGGCTTTCCAGGTAAGAATCTCTCCTAAATGGGCTGATTGATTCCTTGCCCTGGTAAATGCAATGCGATAGGAAAAATGCAATCCTTTTCCTCTTTATGATTCTACGAAGATCTCCTCAATAGTATCACCCAGGGACTTGTATCGTTACAAAATCTTGTGAGTGTGGATGCAAAGCTGTTGTAAACTATATTGCAAACGTGAGCAATCTAGGAGATATACCAAAGTTATTTGTTAATTATAACAAAACCGTCACATAGGGGAATAATATAAGGATGGGAAGAAATTGCAGGAAAAATTGAACGAGGCAAGCCGTTTCCTAAGACAGAAAAAGTGATCAAATTGAAAGATGCTGAGCACCTAGAAAAGACATTAAGCTCTTTTCCCCATGGTGACATTGGATTTGTTTTTGCAAATGTCTATACCAGGCAAGCAAAAGTGCATTATGGCCTATAACTTTCAGAAAGGCAGGAAATTGAAGAGGTTGCAAAAAATACAATCAGGGGTATGCCCAG